TTGACACAATTATCTATCTCTTCAATTTATCTGCATATCTATCTATGCAATCTATCTGCCTATCTCTGCAATCTATCTGCATATCTCTCTATCTATGCAATCTATCTCTTCGATCTATCTGCCTATCTCTGCAATCTATCTCTTCGATCTATCTGCCTATCTCTGCAATCTATCTGTCTATATGGCTGGCTTTCTTTGCCAGGCTTATATACTAAAAAAAGAGGGCACCTCGAACAAACTAGAGTTGGCAGGAAAATTATTGATCCTTCCAGAAACTCCAGCGCGCATGCTCCCAGCGTCGCGTGACTTCCGCTGTCGTAACAGTAGAATGAACATCGAATTTACAATGAACAAATAGGGCATTACACTTGATTCAACTAAATCATTGCTGATGAATACCACACAGTATCTAAATATAAGAAGTTGAACTGAGAAAACCCAGATTCGTGATACTCTAGGTATACTCCGATTAAAATTTAAACTACACTAGAAAATATTACAAACAGCTATGCAGTGCATAACTAATTGAATAAATTATTTATTTTACAAAACAAAATAAAAGAACTGGCTGTAGTTTTGTTTCCCAAATCATAACTATTCTGTAAATACAGCCTTAGAAACTATTTGCACCCCCTCCCCCCAGCGTCTAAACGCGTAAGCTTGAGGGAGTATAGTGCTACAGTTCGGGCTTCTATCCCTGTTTTACATTTAAACAAAATAAACACAACATTTAAATTGATTATCATTTTCAGGCGTCTCGTTTTTATCTTCTCTTCCCAATAAATATCTATTCATAAATATGAAACTTTTATCAGAAAGATAAAAAAATATATAAAAAACTATTTTCACACATGGCTTTCCAAACTATAGTTTTAGCTCTGATTAGATTTTCAGAAAAGAATCAGAAAACGTACAACGTGTGGAAATGAATATAAAAGGAAAAACGAATTGTAAACGGCTGATAAATTTAAAAATCAATACGTTTGATCTTCAACGCCATTATTTGAAATAAAAATGACTACGACAGATTTTACAAATCGCCTTTGCCCTGATATAAAACCGTCCACGATGCAATTTTACAATTCATGTAGGCTACGAGTCGACATAAAGAGCAGGAATAAGAAAAAAGAGAGCAAGCAAAACGTTTTTAGGTGTTTTTCTTCAACTTCTGTGCGAATGCTTTCAGCCCGTGGCAATCGGTTTGCTTCAAATCAAATTTTCGGTGAAAAGTTTTAGTATCATTTTAAATCGAAAAGGCAACTAATCCAAAACAGTGAAATCATAAAACGTACTTGGGAGTTAGTTTCATTTCTCATGTTAATAAAAATTCACACGAACTTCAAATGTATATAACTATGGCCAACAGTCTTGCATCATCCTAGAATTTTAGGGATGAGACATAAGGATATCTATATATCTTATTTCAGGTTATTTAAGAAAAGAAACTACAAAATTATATTTCAAAAGTATTCCACAACTGTAGCTTTGCGCGAAATTCAAACCAAACAGAGATTTGTTAAAAATATTTGGACACTCCTTGACAACTTAAAGAACCTCCATCCAGCATGTTCTGCACGTGAAGTCGATGAAGTTAGGTACAGAGGACTCAAAGCTGGAAGTCATGGACGGTTCGAAGGTACATTAATTACATCCGAAGATTTCGCGAATAAAATCCAGCACAATGTTCGCTACTGTGCTGCCACCTTTTGCATGTGAATATATTAAGTGTGGAGTGTAATGTTGCCAAGTGTCGTAACATCGAAGTTATTACAAATACGACATTTAAAAAAATGTATTAAAAAAAAAAGTTTAATCACCCTGTATATTTGTACTGAAAGTTCTCTAGCTAACCCTTATTATTACTCTACGCATTTTAAATAAAAGTTGTTGTTTTATTTTTGTTTTCACAATGAAAAATATTAACCAAGAGGTATAAGAGGTGAAAATTCATGTCCTCTGATTAACCTTCCTTGAGTTTTATTAAATTAAATAGGCGATCTTAAAAACGATATCCTAAGTTTATTTTATAATAACGATCTCTGATTCACTGAGCACGAGGCTTGGAAATTAATTTGCTATGAAGTTTATATAAAAAAGTTTACCGGAAATTAGATTAAAAACATTTCAGTAAGAATTATCATTCTATAAAGACGGCCTCGTGTACCCATTCAATTTAGTCCTTGTGTGATAAGAATAATTATGTTTCCATCGTTATGATTTAATATTCTACAAAGGAATAAAATTTCTTTTTCGTTTTTACTGAGAGAAAAAAAATGAAACAGTGACGTCTAAGAAAGACGAACACAACCTTTACAAGAATTATCTTTGAAATATAATTTTCTTTTCTTTCAGAATTCCAAGTGTGACTTGAAAAAGTAATGCACGTGAATAACTACAGGTTTATATCTGTATTAAAATTTCTTTTGTCACTATATGTGTTTGTCTGATCTTATACATTATTGTATAGGTTAGTTTAATATATACCTGCATGCACAAGTAAGTGTAAATATATATATATACAGAGACATCTCAAAAGTAAATAGACACCATGATTTTTTTTTTCAATAGTCATTTATCTTACATTATCAACTTGACAAAAATGTTT